GCTTTCTCACTTGCCAAATGTTAAAATTTATCTTTCAAAACATTAAAGATTATCAAGGAAAATTTTCCCACAGTCATTTAGAGAAGCTGCAGCTGGTTGATAGTAGTCCTAGATTAATAAATAAATAAATTAAACCCATTCATGAGAGGGTTATTTAGCTGGGTTATTAGCCATATCCATAGACAGTTTCACAGCACAAAAGAGAAATGGAAATAAAAAGGATGAAGAAGTAAATGTGGATTTAAGCTGCAATCATTGCTCTGAAATTAAACTGTATTGTTTATAAATGTAACACATTATCGTCCTCATCATCTCTAGTAGGCCATGTAAAACCAGGTTAGTTTCACACTGCTTTCTCTGTTGCTTTGTTATCCAGGTCCACCTCAACACATGTGGAAAAAAAATTTCCTTCTGGTCAGCAAAACACAGAGAACTTTTGCTCAACACTGCTGTATCACCTACAGATATGTTATAACTGAGAGCCTGAAAAGTGCAATGCTGATTGCACTGACAGTTATAGACCGAGATCTCTGAGCCAAGCTAGATCACTCATACTCATCCTAGACAGTGCTTCATTCTGCCACATAGAAAGGCATTTTGAAACTTGAATATGCGTGGTAGAAACTTTTCTTTCACCGTAAAAAATAGGACTGTATCCTCAATACCACACTTAGTCAAAACTCCCACTGAAGAACAATGTGTTCCTCAATAAAGGAATTAAAGTCTTTGTGAGAATCAGGATTTATAGTAGAAAGCAGGCAAGTCCTTTAATATTTGAGTCTTAATGCTCGGTGTCACTGCACAGTCCTGCCTTTTCCATTACTCAGAAGAAAATTGAGTCCTTGCATGCAATAGTCAAGCCAGTTCAGACAAAACTGCAACCCTTGTGTTACATGATACCTCACATCACAAGTACTTGGGCATATGGACAGTGATTTCAATGTATGGATCACAGCAATTTTTAGGCTGCCTATAGAATTACAGTACGAAAACCTTGATGAGCATTAAATCAATATTAATCATATAAAATCACTTTCCATCTTCCCATAAATAAATAGTAGTAAGCAGTTTAAAACATTAATTACAGTAACTTCTTTTTCTTTTTTTTTAAAAGAGCATACCTGTGCCAATTGCAGATATGCCTTCCACAGTGATCAAAAGATAAAACTGCACAGACCGATGACAGTGTGACTACACAGTCCCTTGCAAAATAACATCAGCAATTCCAAACTGGGATACCTCATTTGTCACCCAAAAGAACTGCAGTAGGGTGCTTGCCCAAAGCCCAGGGAAGCTGTCTGCTTTGACTTCCACTGAGTTTGGGTCACAGCAATGGTTAACAATTGACCCATCTGTTGGACTGCAGTCTGTAAGAAGCAGTGAGGCAGGCATGCAACAAATGACCCGAATGCTGTAGTGTACAACACTGTGGTACCCAGCAATTACATGCTTAACCACAGGAGGGGCATTTCCAAGGGTAACAGAGACACACAAAGGTCCCTGCACCATGAAGAAATGAGACAGAGGCTTGGAAATCTGAGACAAGCGTAGCAGAACATCACAAGAGAGGGCACCAAATTCTGCCTAATGCAACACT